AGTAGTATGCCTTTTTTTTTTTTTTTTTTTAAATATTATATTTAGGGGCCGGCAGAAGGCGTGGTGGTCAAGGGAACTAGACTCCCACATGGCCAACCATGGTTTGAGTCCTGGACCTGGCGACTTGCTTTCTCACATCCGCCCCCACCTTCTCTCTCTCTCTCTCTCTCTTTCTCTCTCACTCTGTCCTTCCCTGGTCAAATTTAAATAAATACATAAAGTTAAATAAAATAAAACTAATTTAAAAAAAATTATTTATTTTGATTTGACCAGAGGGACAGAGTGAGGGAGAGTGAGAGAGATAGAGTGAAAGTGAGAAAGCAAGCTGCCAGGTCTGGGACTCGAACTGTAGTGGGCCATGTGGGATCCCTACGCCCTTGACCACCATGACACCTGCCAGGCCACTTTTTTTTTTTTTTTTAAAGACAGATTTTTGGAATCAGCAGATGGAGTAATGGTTACATCAGATGGAAGATGGAGGAGAGGGGATTGCAGTGGGCCATCACCCATAGGGAGTGATTTCTCACTGTCTTTCCATCTCTGTCTCTTCAGCTAGTATATGCTCCTGCCCTGTGGATTTTTGCTATAGAGAGCATATGCTTGCTGAAGAGACAGAGAGAGACAGAGAGATAGAAAGCAAGAAATCATCCCCATCATCCCCAGGGGTGATGGCCATGCTGCAGTCCCCTCTGCTCCATCCTCCTCCAGGGATTTTGGACACGCAAACACACATGCCCAGTGTGAGTTTCAAACTGCCGGGTCCAGGACTTGAACCACAGTTGACCACGTGGGAGTCCAGTGACATAACCATTACTCCATCTGCTGGTCTCTCAGATACTTTAACACCTTCAGTTAAGAGGTTAGTACAGGGGTGTGGTAATTAAAGGCGCTGGACTCCCACATGGCCCACCGTGGTTCGAGTCCTGGACCTGGCGGATTGCTTTCTCACCTTCTCTCTCTCACTCTGTTCCTCTCTGGTCAAATTGAAATAAACAAATGTTTAATAAAAAAAATAAAAGGTTAGTACAGGGGCCAGAGATGGACATGGTAGTTAAGGGCGCTGGATTCCCACATGGCTGATGGCGGTTCGAGTTCCAGACCTGGTGGCTTGCTTTCTCACTTTCCCTTTCTCTCTCTTGCTCTCCTTCTCTGGTCAAATTAAAATAAATAAATAAAGTTAAATATATAATTCTTAAAAAGAAAAGAGGTTAGTATAATAATCTCCTTTTTTTTTCTTTTAAGATCTGTGTCTTCCAGGATTTATTTATTTATTTTTAGAATTATTTTATTTTATTATTTATTTTAATTTGACCAGAGAAGGAGAGCGAGAGAGAGGGAAAGTGAGAAAGCAAGCCACCAGATCTGGGACTTGAACCACCGTCAGCCATGTGGGAGTCCAGAACCCTTAACCACCAGGCCAAAAGCTGGCCCCAAGCTTCCCACATTTATTATATATGCCTTTTTCTTTTTAGGTTTGCTATAGGGCACATCACTCACACAGAAAAGACAGAGCAGGGTGTGGTGGTTAGAAAGTACCTCCCTGCTCCAGGAGGATGGTGACACTACAATCCTTTTCCATTCTCCTTTTGGGACTTTGGGCACTGGGCAAACACACATGTTTAGTGGCTCTGGGACTCAAATCACTTAGCTGGCTTGTGGGATCCAGTTGCCTTAACCAACACATCACTGGCTAGCCTCCCCAATAATATTCTTTACAAAAAAAACTTTTTTAAAAATCTATTTACTTAATTCCATTTGTTTTTATTATTTTTTAATTTGACCAGAGAGAAAGAAAAAGAAAGAGAGCAAGCTGCCAGGTCTGGGATTAGAACAGTGGTAGGCCACGTGGGAATCTAGAGCTTTTACCCACTACAGCACTTGCTGGCCCCAAACTTTATTTATTTATTTATTTATTTAATTTTGTTTATTCTTTTGTTTATTTTAATTTGACCAGACACACACACACACACACACACACACACACAGAATAAGTCACTAGATGCAGGACTTGAACTGTGGTTAGCCATGTGGGAGTATCCTGGTCCTTAACCACCACACTACCCTCTGTCCTTTTTTGAGAGGTTTTTGCTATAGGGCGTGTGCGCTTGCCAGAAAGACAGA